CCACAGGCGCCAAGCCGACATTGAGTGTTTTATATTTTATATTAGCAGTTAGCATAGACTTTAGTTTTGTTGTCTCCCCAACTAAGGATTTGCCCTCCTCCTTGTGTTCTTGTTTGTATTGGGCAGAGTTGGTAGTATATTATTTCATTTGAATCTCCTCCTAGCATAGCATTGTAGCATAGCATTATGGTGCTTTTTGCATATTTATAACCTCGTGAATTATGAGACTAATATCTTAAAGACTAGTTAAGGCTTTAAGGGAATCAAACCTATAGAAATTGAAAATGTAATTGTTATTGTGGTTTTGGGGGTTTCTTTTAACTCTGAGGCAGTAGCCTATCAAAAATTTTCTTATTGGGCAGCATCTGTGGCTCAAAGGATTAGGGTACTGGTCCCATATGCTGGAGGTGGCGGGTTCAAACCCAGCCCCGGCCTCCCCCCCCCAATTTTTTTTTTTCTTATTTGTTCTTTAGCTTTATTTTTTTCCCTTAAGAATAATTAAAAATATTGGTAGCCTATATGTAGATAATATACTTTGATGTACATTATCTTGTTCAAATTTTTTTAAAACCCTAGGCAGTTAAAAGTGAATAAAAGTAGAAAGGAGGCTGGTGATGTATCTTATGAGCACAGCACTATGTTACATTGTTAATCTCATTTATGCCTTATAGCAATATCTGCAAGCTAAGTAGCATTATCTCCATTTTGGAGGCAATCAAATGATGGTCCATTTGCCCAAGATCACCTAAGTTTTTATTTCAAAGCTATTGCTATTTTCATACTCTGCTTCCTCTCCGAAATAAAGAGCATATGCTCTGCCTTAATTTTCTTTGTTAACTATTTCTTGACTTACCCTGTGACTGCAAGATGAGAGCATAAAAGTGTAGGACATTGTAACCATGATAAGTCATTCATTCTGTTGCCAGGGAGGCCTAACCCAGCTTCTCTGGCTCTCTGTGGCCATCTCTTGCTTTTCTCCTGGTCCAGTGCAGTTACATCTGGCTTATGGGAATAAGGAACATTTTCAGGTTCAGCCTTTTTTGGCTACGTGAATAAACATTACTTTTTGGTTATGTGTATTATCTTAGCTTTTATGGTTTCATATTGCTGAAGAATGCAGAGCAGTTAAATCTTAAGCTATGAAGTGTGTGTTTGGCAAGAGAGAAGTAAAAGCAGATTTACTTAAAAATCAAGAGGACTCTATATCTGATAAGAAAAGTAGTCTCAAAACCGCTCAAAAGTAGTCTCAAACTGTGATCTGTTTGTTCTAGTTGACTACAGATTAAAAGATGTTTTTAAGTCTAGAGTTGCCTAAAACTCTTCTATCTCTGTGTAATTTGTATTTTTAGCTGAGAGAAGAAAAGTTACCAGAGGAAAAACCCTCTGAAGATCAAACCCACAAGCTGTTACCAGAGGATACAGAAACAGGAAAAAGGAAAATGGATGAACAGAAAAAAAGAGAAGAGTCATTAGTATTGAAAACAAATCTGGAATGTGTAAGTAAATCACCTTTTGGACAGACATCTGCTTCACACAATCAGCAATTAGCCTAGGTGACATGGATCTAAAAGTCCTAAGTTGGTGAACTATTGGACCAATAACAAGTCATTGACTAGTTTAACAGTAGTGAAGAACTTAGCATCTTTATGAAAGGTGGAGAAAATATTTAAATAGGACAGTGAGATCTGTGGAAAGACTAAGGGAACAGAGGAAAAGGTGAGCAAGAGGAAAAACTCAGTTTAGTATACTGTTTGTGATAAGTTTTATGCCTGTATTGTCATTTTATAATTATGTGTTATTAGACATTTTTTTTTTTTGAGACAAAGTCTCACTTTGTTGCTCTTGATAGAGTGCTATGGCGTCACAGCTCACAGCAACCTCAAACCCTTGGGCCCAAGCAGTTCTCTTTATCAGCCTCCCAAGTAGCTGGGACTGCTGGTGCCTGCCATAATGCCCAGCTATTTTTATTTTTTGGTTGTAGTTGTCATTGTTGTTTGGCAGGCCCGGGCTGGATTGGAACCTGCCAGCTCTAGTGTATGTGGCTGGCACCCTAGCCACTAAGCTTCAGGCGCTGAGCCGACATTTAAGTTTTAAATATCTTCTATCCTCAGTCATATTTCCTTAGCGCTTGTATTTTATTTGCCTTTATTCTTTGTAGTACCCTAAGAGTAGACTTCTAATGGGAGCAAATCTTGCCTGAATTTTTTCATTACTCATATACCAAGTAAATTAATGGAAAAGGCTGCAAGTTATGTATTTAACTTACATAAGAAAACATTTTTGGAGGAACCACTAATTGCACCCAAATGGATAGTTACAATTAAGTTTTATTTCTTTAGTAAGTCATATAGGATTGGACATCTTCTATTGTTTGATGTCTATACTTAGCATATCTTTAGACTCATATCTCTTAAAATATAATAATTCAGATTTGTATCAGATCTCTTATAATTCAGATTTGTTAGTGTTTCTGGTTATCTTTCTAATTAGCTGAAATTGATAAAGCTTTATTTACCATATATAAAGATAGGCAACATAGCAGAGTAGGAAAAAAACCTTTGGATCAGAAGCCTGCCTCTTAGACACATGCCAGCATTGTAGCTGATTGGACAGTTTTGGCCAGATTACTTAATTTCCCTCTGCTTCTGATTTAATTTTTGCAAAGGTAAAATTGAATTTGTTTTTTTTTTTTTTTTTTTTGAGACAGAGTTTTATTGCCTGAGTTTATTGCAGAGTCTCACTTTGTTGCTGTGGCATCACAGTTCATAGCTACCTCAAACTTTTGGGCTCAAGCAATTCTCTTGCTTGAGCCTCCCAAGTAGCTGGGACTATAGGCACCTGCCACAATGATGGCTATTTTTTTAGAGACGAGGTCTCACTCTAGCTCAGGCTGGTCTCGAACCTGTGAGCTCAGGCAGTTCACCCACCACGGCCTCCCAGAGTACTATGATTACAGGCGTGAGCCATCGTACCTGGCCCTATTGACCCTTTTTTTGAGACGGAGGCTCACTCTGTTGTCCTGGGTAGAGTGCTCTGGCCATCATAACTCACAAAACTTCAAACTCCTAGTCTCAAGCAATCCTCTTGCCTCAGCTTCCCTAGTAGCTGGACTACATGTGCCCGTCACTACAACTGGCTAGTTCTTTTATTTTTACTAAAGATGGGGGTCTTACTTTGCTCAGTCTGGCCTTTTTTTTTTTTTTTTTTTTTTGAGACAGCCTCAAGCTGTCCTGTCTTTAGATTTACAGTCTAATGCTTACTCAGCCATTTTACCCTACTTATGTTCGTTAATTGCTGGCTATACTCAACTAATCATAAAAATATCAATACCTTATATCTGGTGTTCGGCACTTGAGCAGGGATAATGGGGACTGCCCTTAGCCTCCTAATCCAGGGAGAACTAGGCCAGCCAGGGACTCTACTAGGAGATGATCAAATTTATAACGTTATTGTCATGGCCCACGCATTCGTCATAATCTTTTTCATAGTTATACCAATCATAATTGGGGAGTTTGGGAACTGATTAGTCCCATTAATAATTGGAGCCCCCGATATAGCATTTCCATGAATAAATAATATAAGCTTCTGACTACTACCCCTGTCATTCCTCCTCCTTCTAGTCGCCTCAATAGTTGAAGCAGGAGCTGGAACTGAGTGAACCCTGTATCCCCCCTTAGTAGGCAACCTAGCCCATGCGGGAGCCTCAGTAGCCCTCACCATCTTTTCACTCCACTTGGCAGGAGTATCCTCAATCCTAGGGTCCATCAACTTTATTACAACTATCATTAACATAAAACCACCAGCAATATCTCAATATCAAACACCCCTATTTGTCTGATCAGTGATCATCACAGCTGTCCTATTACTAGTATCCCTCCCAGTCCTCACAGCAGGCATCACCATACTCTTAACAGACCGCAACCTTAACACCACCTTTTTCGACCCTGCAGGAGGAGGAGACCCAATTCTCTATCAACACCTATTCTGATTTTTGGGGCACCTGGAAAAAGTATATATAGAAGTATATATAGTATATATAGAAGAAGTATATATTCTTATTCTATCAGGATTCGGAATAATTCCCACATCATATCGTATTACTCTGGGAAAAAAGAAGCATTTGGGTATATAGGTATAGTCTGAGCTATAATATCCATTGGTTTCCTGGGCTTTATTGTATGAGCTCACCACACATTTACAGTAGGAATAGATGTTGATACTTGAGCATATTTTACATCTGCCACAATAATCATTGCCATCCCTACAGGGATTAAAGTGTTCAGCTGATTAGCTACCCTGCATGGAGGAAACATCAAATGATCACCAGCTATACTATGAACCCTACGGTTTATTTTCCTATTTACAGTAGGAGGCCTTACAGGAATCGTCCTATCTAACTCCTCATTAGACATTGTCCTACACGACACATACTACGTAGTAGCACATTTTCACTACGTACTGTCTATAGGAGCAGTGTTTGCCATTATAGGAGGATTCGTCCACTGATTCCCACTATTCTCTCGCTACACTTTAGACCAAACCTCCCAAGTAGCTGGGACTACAGGCACCTGCCACAACGCCTGGCCAGTTTTTTGGTTGTAGCTGTCATTTGGCAGGCCCTGGCTAGCTCTGGTGTATGTGGCTGGTGCCTTAGCCGCTTGAGCTATAGGTGCCGAGCCACAAAATTGAATTTGAAATTATTTATGTGTTTTTGGGATAATAGTATTTTCTGACTATCACATGCATATGGGGCTTTGATTCCAGTTAAATGATAATGATAGTAATAGTGCTATCATTTAATTATTATCAAAAACAACTACTTGTGTTTTACAGGGTTTCATCCTTCTAAAAGATTCAGTTTAACAAGCATGAAGTGCTATGAGTTTTAATGCTCTGTACATTAGAAAACACAAAGGGCAAAAGACTCCTACTGGATAGGAGACAATATAGCTAGGAAGGCATGAATAAAGTATGTGATGATCTTATATACAAATTATATTGTATAACTAGTAGCCCCAGCTGTGGTCTATACGCTCCATAAAGACTCCAGCTCTGCCTATTCACCCCAAGAGTACAAAACAAAACAACCCAGAAGGACCTTTCTTTTTAGGACAGACTAGTCTTGATAGAGCTTACCCTTCACTATGGTCCTTTGATTGAAAGAACTTGCTGTTTCTAGCCTTGCCAGAAACAAGTTTTCTCCAGAAATGGATCTCTAATATTAAATAATTTCAAGGCTGGGAAATTGCTCTAATTATTTTTTCATTTGCTACTGCCATCTTTGAAATAGTAATAAAGTGCAGCAACTAAATTTTAATATTCAGAGGCATCAGAAAGTATAAATTCTGATTTGTTTATTGGTAATGGCTAGTTTTACAAATGCAAAAACAAATTGAATAAAATCTGACCCATGAACATTTCCTCTTAGATTTGTGTGGTTTTTGCCTTTTTTCACTCACTTTTATATTTTTGAGGATTTTTATTTATTTTTCATTTTTTAAATTTTTTTGCTTTGTCACCTAGGCTGGAGTACAGTGGCATGGTTGTAGCTCACTGCGACTTCGAATTGATGGCTTCAAGGGATCTTTCTATCTTAGCCCCCAGTAGCTGGAACTACTAGCACCACACCCAGCTAATTTAAAAAAATTTTTTAGAGGGCGGTGCCTGTGGCTTAAAGGAGTAGGCTGCAGGCCCCATATACTGGAGGTGGTAAGTTCAAACCCGGCCTCAGCCAAAAATTGCAAAAAAAAAAAGTTTTTTTAGAGACATTATCCTTTATATTCTAGGCTAGTCTTGAACTCCTTGCCTCAAGGGGTCCTCCTGCCTCAGCCTCCCAAAGTGCTAGGATAACAGGTATATCACTGTATCCAGTCCTATTTTTGAAAATTTTAAATGGCTATAATTTTGCTTAAAATATGTCTTAAGAGGTTTTGGTGTTGAATAAATAATTCCATTTAGTTTAGCCAGCACTACATTCAGATGAAGACTTTAGTCACAGGAGTTCTCAAATTATGGCCCGGGGGCCACATGCGGCCCACCTAGGACATTTATTTGGCCCGCTGGGTGTTAATTGCTGCCGCTGCCTGTCCTGCTTAGCAGCTGACTCATCCTGGGGCCCGCAGTCTGGCCCTCCAACAGTCTGAGGGACAGTGAACTGGCCCCCTGTTTAAAAAGTTTGAGGACCCCTGACTTAAGAGAATCTTAAGTGATTTCAGTGGGAAGTGAGCTGAAGGATTATTTTTTATATGAGGAGTGTTATGATTACAGCTAGACTGATGATTGCACTATCTTGCCCCAAAACTTCAGTGACTCCATCTTTCCTGTGAAATTAAATGAAGATTCTTCACACCAACATTCAAGTCCTTCCTTCATATGATTCCAGCTTGTTTTTCTATCCTTGCTTATATCCCCAAACTCTAAAAGTATATGTTTGCTTTCACCCAAATATATATTTTGTTTTCCCTCCTCAAGATCTTTGCTCTTGCATTTTCATCTCATCAAAATGCCACCCATGTATCTATTGAAAAGGTATTCATCTTTATCGGTTCAATAGCTATTGAATTCACGGAACCTATATAGGCATTCACATATTTCTACACTCACGTCATCCGCGCTGCTTCTCCGCTTAGTAACTTTTACAGGCCTTATTTTGTTCTCTCTTACGTTATGTTTTTGTGTGTGTGTGTGTTAGTGTTTTTCTAATAGATTTTAAGTTTCATGATTATAGGAAATGTGTCTTACCCATTTTCAAATTCCTTACATCACAGGTGTTTGGTACATATTTATGAAATTCAATTTGAATGGAGGAAGGAAAGAGCTGACTCTAGAAGCAGATATTACCATGTGTTTTTTTCTGAATGGAAATAAAATCAGTGCCATGTTTAATTTATGACAATTTATTGGCACATTTAGTCCACTAATGTGAATTGTTAGAAAACAATTTGATATAGCACTTATGCTAAAGATTATAAAGCAAAAAGTGAAAAATTACTTGTCATCTCATAACCTAGAAATGACTCCTATAAACATTTTGGTAAATACCCTTCCAGATTTCTTTTCTAAGCGCATATAAATACACATTATATATTGTTTCTCTTTTCAGAAAATGTAGCCTACTGTTTTATAGTCTATTTTCAGTTAACTATAAGTTGTGGATGTCTTTCCATGTAAATAAGAATCCACATTATGATTTAGTGGTCTCTGAGTATTCTTGACAGTAGAATTTATTTAACAAATTTATTTACTAAAACTCCTGTTGTAGCTTTGCTGTTTTAAACACTATTGTGATGAAATCCACCTGTCTCATTAATTCCTAGAATAAATTACTAGAAGTAGAATGACTGGGTCAAAGGGAGTGTCCTTGTAAATATTTTTGTATTTGTTACTCAGTTGTCCTCCAGGAAGTTTGTATGTAATTGTACTCCTACCAGTCATACGTGAGAGTACTGAATTAATTTCCTCATACTTTGCCAACTCTGGATATTATTCCTTGAATTTTTTAAGGTATAACATTTTTTAAGATGTCACTTCAGGAATTGCATTTATGCATGGATTGTACCATTTTTGGAATCCATAGTGCTATAGGCTCATTTTTATCAAAGGTTAAAAATGAGAGGTAAATATTTTCCTATCTTGTTGCTTATTGGAGTAGAAATGTAGGTGTTAGGTAGCTTTTGTCTAAATAATTATTTGTAATAACCTGATTTGTATTTCAATAATTAAAAGGGACTTGGCATATACTCTATCATAAAAGTAAAGTTTTTTCTTCAAAGATTAATAGTACTTAAATTAATCTAAAAATCTATCTTGCTGAACACTTAACTACGTTTTAGCTGATGTGCTAGGTGCTTTTAATGGCTTATCATAAACTATATAGTAGATAGAGCAGTCTTTTTATTCCCTTTCTTTCTTTCTTTCTTTTTTTTTTTTTGAGACAGAGTCTTGACAGAGCAGTCTTTATTTTATAGATGAGAAAACCAAGGCTCAGAAAAATGAAGAATGAACCTATAATGACAGTGATAGCTAAGTAATATAGCTGCAATTTGAACACTCTTTTACTTGGTACTGAATTGATTGTGAAGAGAGATTTAAATAAACAGAAATTGCAATTATTCTATTGGTATTAAGCTTTGTCTTTTTTCCTAGAATTGAGAATACTGTATAAAATTTCATAATGGGTTAGTGCTATTAAAGATTCTCCATTGAATATTTTGCACAACAGCGTCCTCTAAAAAATGAACCCTATGAAATTAAAAGCCCTCTTTATAATTCTTCAACTCTCTCTCAAGAGCCAACTGTTAAGAAGTATAACCTAGGCTGGGCATGGTGGCTCCTGCCTGCAATCCTAGCACTTTTGGAGGCCTGGGTGGGAGGTTTGCTTGAGGCTGGGCATTTGAGACTAGCCTGAGCAAGAGTGAGAGACCTTGTCTGTACAAAAATTGGAAAAATGAGCCAGGCGTGGTAATATGCACCTGTGGTCAGCTATGGGGGAGGCTGAGGCAGGAGGATCACTTGAACCCAGGAGTTTGAGCTTGCTGTGAGCTATGGTGACACCACTATAATCTACCCGAGTAACAGAGAAAGACCCTTTATTTAAAAAACAAACAAACAAAAAAACGTATGGACTATTGTGTGACAAAGCCTTTAATGTATTCAGGGTACTCTGAGCCATATACTGCCTTGCAGCCATGCCTACATCTACAACTCTCATATTTTATTTACTTCCTCTATCATGGTATTGGGAATTTTTTTTTAAAAGTTGGTCACCTACTCTCACAGAGCTTATTGTATAAAGCAAAAAGCAGAAGACAAATCCCTGAAGAAGAAGATATAGTTCAGTGTGGTTAGTTGGTATTCATTAGAAGAAGAGTCTCATAGTGAATAATGAGGCAAAACTTCATCGTACTGTATGTAAAGACACCTCTAAAAGACACTTCAAATGTTCCTTCCTCTAAGAAGGAACTCCAAAGTGAAATGAAGATACAAGAATGGGTGTAGACAAGATAGAAAAAATGAGCTTTAGGGTAATTTGGAAGCCTTTGCAGAGAAAGTGACATTTTTCTGACAGGCCAGTCAGTATTTTTTTATAGACAGAGGAAATTTTAGGCAAAAGAAATGGTATTTTCAAAAGAATGGGTGTTTTGAAGGACTGTGGTACATGTGGAAAGTAAAAAGTAGTTTGGTTGTACTAGAGCTCAGTGGGGGAAAAGCCAGGAAGGAAGGTTGGTGTAGTTTGCAAAGGTGGTTGTATCAGGTGGAGGTGTTTAGACTTTATCTTGATGTCACCAGCAATCATTATTATTTTTTTGAGCAGTTAAAGCAAGAGAGTAGTTGTGTTCTGGGAAAATAATTATTGGTAGTATGAAAGGTTAGAGGGAAGAAATCCTAGAGAAAGCAAGACCTATAAATAGAATATTGTAATAGTTGAGGCAGAAGATAATGGGAATCTAAGAAAAGGCAATGACAATGAATATAAATGGGAAGAGTCAGATCTGAGGGACAATTTTAGGAGTATAGTGGAATAGAGTGGAAAAGCATGGAGACATTCTGGAGATTAATGCTCTTAAGAACCAGCTTTAGCCATTTATTCTATAATCCTAGACATATTATTACTCTGAGTTCTCAGTTTGCCATCTCTAAAAGATAATAATCCCTGCTTTTGATGCAGGCGCCCTCAAACTACAGCCCGCGGGCCACCTGCAGCTGGCCTAGGACATTTATCCGGCCCGCCGGGTGTTTTTGCCGCCTCTGCCTGTCCTGCTTAGCAGCCAGCTTGTCCTGGGGCCACGCAGTCTGGCAGTGAACTGGCCCACTGTTTAAAAAGTTTGAGGACCCCTGTAAAGCGACTAATATAAACAGTAAATATTTAGAAGTCTTGAGGTCCCCCTAACCTTTACATAAATGTTATTATGAATTAGAAGAAAGGGAAAGAAAAGAATTATAGATGGCATTGGAGTTTCTAGATGGATTGATGGTAAGGCTTAGAGAAGAGAAATAGTTTGATTTTGAATATATTGAATTTGAACTACATTTGAGATTGGGATCTCCAAGAGGCATTTGGAAACAGATTACAATTCAGACAGAAGTGACTCAAGAAAGAGATTTGAAATTATAGCTTGAGTGGATTCTATTGGAACCCCAAATGGACAGTCTTGTCTCCCTTGTCTCCCTGCCAGTGCCCTGCGCGTCTCTCAGATTCAGAGAATGAAGAACCTTCTCGAGGCCAGATGACCCAGACACATCGCTCAGCATTTGTTTCCAAGAACAACTCCTACTCTTTAGCTTTCCTGGCAGGGTAAGAAACTTGACAATTGAATTCCGTCAGGGTTCTTTAATTTTGGAATTTGAGCAAAAGGGATTGGGGGAGTAAAGGTATTTATTGTAGCTACCTTGGGGGAGATAGAGGAGGAAAAAAGAAGTGGGAATTAGTTTTCAAATATAAGTTAGGGAGAAAAGGGCTCACCTCAACTTTAAAAGAAAAGTAAGGTTTATTCATTTCTGGCATTCTCAGGGGAGGATTTTGCTAACTGCTCTGCTGCAAAGTGTGAACCTTTTATCCTGGAAGGAAACAACAAAGTCTTCTTCAGTCTAACAATATCCATGGACTCTCCCTCTGGACTTTAAAACTCTTAGTAGGGCGTAAGGCCAGAGTTGATTTTCTTCTCTGTGCCTAGCCTTAGACCAAAATATATCTTCATAGGTTTCAAGAGGGCAAAGTGAAAAGTGTTAAAGATCCTTGACAGCCTTGACTTTGCAGGCCCTGGGGAGGAAAGGAGAGAGGAATTGGATGGATGCTGGCAGCTAGAAGAATAATGAAGGGCTAGATGGGAGGAAAGAAGGATGCAATCAATGGAAAGGAAGAAGGAAGGAATCATTCAACAGACATTTTGTGAATAGCTACTATATGCCATGTTCTGTTTTAATATAGAGATGCAAAGATCTATCTTTACCTCAGTTCATTGTCTTTTGTTAAAAGCTGGCATTCCTTGCCCTTATCCCTGGGGTTCACCTCTTCCCACCAAGAGAGATGTGGTAGATCTCTCTTTTTTGTCACTCTTGTGAATACATGCTTAGATCCTTACGACTTTTATTGCTAGTGACTTATAAATATGACAAAAAAAAAGCCACCAAAGTTTAAAAATTTTTATAAAGTGCTTACTATTGTAATTCCTGATATAATTTCTGCTTGGAATCCTTTATTTTCTTTTGGAGTAGTCTGATTTTCCTGTTATTTCTGAGAGTAAAAATCACTAAATCTCCCATTCCCTTAAATACCTTCCCTTCTATAGGTAATGGCAGCTCCTTCTCCAGGAAGGCCCCTCCCAGATTATTTATTCACTCATTTGACATATGTTGAATGGCCACTGTATCATAGCCACTTAGGCTTGATTGATGTATCAGGACCCAGTAAGTAAGCCAGTATCCTTTCCATTTATGATGAAGATGGGACTCTTGCATTATGTATATGAACTTGAACTATAGATGCCTTTTAAAGTTAAAACATTCAAGATGGCTTCCGGGTTTGGTGGTGTATGCTTATAGTCCCAGCTACTTGGGAGGCTGAGGTAGGAGGATTGTTCAAGCCCAAGAGTTCAAGAATAGCCTGGACAACATAGCAAGACCCTATGTCTTTAACAAAATCAAGATTGCTTGACTAAGAATTGTTGGCTCCATATTTGTGCATGCATTTTCCCCCATTCGTAGCAAATATATCTTAATGATTATTTATAAGAGGAATCTACTGAAAAGAGTAAAAAGTCAAATTATTTATTCCAATCAAGTCATAATAAATATTTTCTGAAGCTAATATGTTGCTTTATGAAATCTGTGGTTAATTTATTAATATCTTGTAATTTAAAATAACTTAGAAAAAAAGAAATTTATATTAAAATCTAAGTATGGTACCAAGGGAAAATTGTTCCAATTAATTGTAATAGATACTGAATGAGTGAGTTAGTTATCACCAATTCTGGTCTTTACCCTTATACCCTGTAATTCATTCTTTTAAAGGGAGGGAGGAGTAGGTTAATACATCATTAATTAGAAATGCCTTGCAAAGAAATTAGTAAATTATAGAAGTGTGCTTTTGATTTAAGTGGCTTTTGGACATCTGTTACATATCTTCTTTTCCAGTTCCTAGCCCATATATATACCTTACCCTATATCATTGAGCCATGTTGAGACTAATTAATAGGAAAATTTTCATTTAAGGTTTAACTTTAGGAAATACTTGCAATCAATATGATACATTTTGGGATTTCAGGGCTCATTTTCTTCCAAACATTCAGTGTTGTGTGTGGGGTTCAATTATTAGTATAGTTAATTAAAACAATAAATTGAATTTGGTTGGTAGGGATTTTTCTTTTTTAGGAAATGGTATGTTGATGTTGTGGAATCAGGTTGAAAAATCAATTATGGTAATACAGTGGATTGCATTTCTTATTTAGAATATGCCTTTTCTTAGATAAATATTAGGTTTCAGTTCTAAATTACATTTAGGAAAACAACATAGAATTGTTTTTGCTGACCATGAGATGTAGAATATGGATATATTTAAAAAGAAGTAGCATAGTGGTGGTTGTACAACAACATGACTGTTCACCTAAAAATGGTTAAATTGGTAAATTTTATGTTTATTTTACCATAAAAAATGAGCAGTATTTATAGTTTTGGGACATTTCACATATACCTTTTGTGTCTCTTAAGCAGCACAAAAGAATAGATTTTCTCTCTAAGTCTTTTCCTGAAGAGAGTACATATGTAAGACCTTTTAAAGACTTTACACCCTTATTTGAATCAAATAAATCTGCCATTTGTTTTTTTTATCTACTTTATGAACTTTTCTTTCTTAAGCACAAAAGCATATAGGTAGAGGTAAATAGGCATGACTAATGGGATGATTATTTTGGAAGGAATGCATCAGTAGATTTTGGCTGTCTTACTAGCAGGTCAGTGTATTTTCATTTGAAAAATTCAAAGTGAGGAGCAAGATGGTGGACCAGAAGGATCACTAGGCTCCAGGCCTGTGGCTCAAGTGGCTAAGGTGCCAGCCACATATACCTAAGGTGGCGGGTTTGAATCCAGCCTGGGCCTGCCAAACACCAATGACGACTGCAACCAAAAAATAGCCAGGCGTTGTGGCGGGTGCCTGTGGTCCTAGCTACTTGGGAGGCGGAGGCAGGAGACTTGCTTGAGCCCGGGAGTTGGAGGTTGCTGTGAGCTGTGATGTCAAGGCACTCTACCCAGGGCAACAGCTTGAGGCTCTGTCTCAGAAAAAAAAAAAAGATGTTTAAGACTTTGGTGGCACACTCAAGATCCTCTCACCACACACCAGTGTCCCACAGCACACCAGTTGAAAAT